TCGACATGAGAAAAAAGTTTGATCACCGTAAGCTTTTTAAAATTGTTCTACTACTTTTGTTATCAAATGAATTTAAATACATTTTCATCATAATTTTTTAAATATTACAATTTATGAGAATAATTTATACTTATAGTTTTTTTTTTTACAAAATATAAATACATTTAATTTTTAAATTAGTGACTCTATCATCGCATGAAATAAAGGATATTTGCATTCTCTTATACATATGCATGTCAAGTATTGGGGATTAAAATTTATTAGAAGAATTGAAATTCAATAATAGGTAAAGATCACGTTGTTGATAGGTGAACAACAATTCAACAATACATGTAGTCAATCATCTAATAAATCATGAGAGAAGGAAACACGTCTAAAGAAAGTATCATTTTTTTTAGAGATCGGGTAAGCAAATATAGATTGAAGATTAAATGTTTTATTACAGAGTTACAAATTGCGGAAATTCTAACCGAGATATTGAATATAACAAAATTTGCCGGTGTAAAGAAATTGATGGGAATGATAAGATTAAGCAACATGAGTTAAGAGAAGTATTGTGTTGAAATTCGGTGTTAGAAGTTAGAAGTTAGTAATAAGGTGGTTAGATAGTGAAAACTAACTTTACATGTGGTTACTACTAGTTGCATATGTGATTACTACTAATTATGTATGTGATTACTACTAATTACAAGTTAGCTAATTAATAAGTAGTGTGATCTTATATAAAAGATGTGATCCATGTTTGTAATAACAACCAAGTAGATCAATTGAAAAGTAAACTCTTTTCACTTTAATTTCATTATAACTCTCTATAATTCATTTATTCTCTTTATGCTCATTACATTGTGACAAGTTATCTTAAAAAATTGGTATCAAGAGCGTCAATTTGATCCTAACTTCCATAAAAAAAAACAAATGAAAACACAACGTCTAATTAATTTTCTACAAATCTACGAGTATTCAAAGGGGAACATTATGACAGATGATTCACGCAAATGAAGTTCATATTCAGATTTTAATATGTGCTTGAAATCATAAATGATGGACTCTCAGCATTGAAACAAATGCAACAGAAGCACAGAATATTGCTCATCGCAAATTGATCAAGAAAGATGGGAAATGTATGTTTCTGATCCATCAATGTGTGGATTCAAACATCTTTGAGAATTTCATAGAGGAAGAAACGACTAAGGGTGTGTGGGATACACTCGAGAAGTTGTATAAAGGTGGTAAAAAATTGAAATTCAATCTTTAAGAAAGCAATATGAAAATACATAGATGAATGATGGTAAGGCAATTGTAGAGTTCTTCTCAAGATTGGTGTTGCTAACCAATCAAATGAAGTCATGTGGTGAGAAGATCACTATTGCAAAAGGTTGAGAAAGTCTTGAAAACCTTAAGTACAAATTTTACCCACATAGTTGCGATAATTGAAGAATCAAACGACTTACCTAAGATGAATCTTGAAGAGTTACAAGTATCCTTGGAGGCTCATGAGTTAAGATTCAAGTAAAGGAATTATGAGAATGTTACATAACAAGTTCTGGAAGCCAAAATTTTCAAGAATATGAATGAAGATGCATCGAATATCAATAAAGGGAAACAAAGGTGAAAGAAGAATAAGTGTAATGGTGAACATGCTGATAAGAATTCAAAGATTCGATGAGAGACAGGCCAAAATGGTGTCTCTCAAAACAATAATTTCAAGAATAAGGTAGATATGAAGGAGGCCAAAATGGTGTCTCTCAAAACAATAATTTCAAGAATAAGGTGGATATGAAGGAACTGAAATGTTATTATTATCAAAAGTTTAGTCATTATGCTACAGGATGCTACTTTAATAAATAAATCAATGGAAGTGACAAAGAAAAAACACAATTTACACATGCGCAATAGTAATTCTGAGAAAGTCATACTAATTACTAACACGCATGTGACACAATATAAAACTAATGTATGGTATCTTGACATAGACTACAACAACCACATGACAACCAAAAAAGATTGGTTTATAAAACTTGATAATGTAGTTAGAAGGTCTATTAGATTTATAGATAATAGCATAGTTACATCTAAGAGTATATGAAATTTTCTAGTGAAGTAGAAGGATTGACAAGAAACAATCATAAGTAATGTGTTATATGTTCCTTTAATGGAAATTACTTGATAAGTTTGACCTAATTTCTTAACAAAGAAATATACCATATGGTTAGAAGATAAGGAGTCAGAAGTATTTAATGTAAGTTCCAAACTAATATTGAAGGTACATTTTCGAACAACAGAATATTCAAAATTATAATAAACAAGCTTGACCCCTAATGTCTTGCATCAACCACATATGAGGATCTAAACTGGATTTGGCATCAGAGATATGGTGATCTAAATTTCAAGAGTTTTAACCTAATGCACATGAAAAAATAGTGTTTGAACTGCCACAAATCAAAATGAAAAGGCAGTTATGCAAAGAGTTATTTGTAGCTAAGCAGACAAGGAAGTCATTCAAGCATGAGTAGCCTATAGAATTAAAGTAGAAGTTGGAGATTATTCATTTAGATATTTATAGGTCATTTAAAGTGAATTCAATGGGAGGTAACTATTATTTTCTGACCATTCATACATGAATTCACCATATATATGTGGATTTACTTATTGGAGAAGAAAATTATTCATAAATTTTGAAAGATTTAAGTTGTTAGTTGAAAAACAGGTTAAATGTAACATCAAAAGGTTGAGAAATAATGGAGGTGGCGGAAAAGAATGAATTAAGCATGAGATCATGACACATTATACACCTCAGCACCGTGAAATTATTGAAAGAAAGAACAAGAGCATATTGAACATGACAAGAATCAGGCTTAAGGCAAGACAATTGCCAAATAATTTGTGAGGAGGTGCAACCTCAAAAATAGTACACATCATCGATAGATGTCCAACAAAGAAGCTAGGGAGCAAAACACCTTATAAAGCATGGACAAGATTGAAACCAAGTGTTGTACACTTCATAATCTTTGGCTCACTTTGCTACAAGCATGTACCTGAGTAACTCATAAGAAAACTAGATAATAAAAGTCACTAAATGAGAATAAGGTGATAATAAGTAGGTATGTGCAATTTGATGAGAGCAAAGGATGGAAAAATTTAAAAGTTTGAAACAATCCAATGCAAAATAGTGAAAGTTCAAATTATATAAACGATATACTTTACAAGATGACGAAGTTAATTAAGTGGCACAAACTTAAGAGGTAGGAAGAACAACAAGGGTTCAAACTCAATCAATTAGGTCAACTGATTGTAAACGATTTAATGACCAAGGCATAAGTAAAAATGGTGATCTGATTGAAGAGTTCATGACAAATGAATGTGAGCAAACTGACCTCAATCAAGCCCTGAAACATGAAAATTAGTAAGAACCTATGAAGGAAGAACTCAAAGCAATTTAGAAGAATCGCGCATGAGATTTGTTCAACCATTCAAGCAATAGAGTCATAGATATAAATTGGATCTATAAGGTGAAGCTCAACCCAAATGGTGAGATAGTTAAGTACAAGACAATGCTAGTAGTAAATAGTATTTTTTCAAAGACTTAAAGTTGATTTTAATGAGGTATATGCACCAGTTTCGACATTTGAAACCATAAGAATTATGGCGGTCGTTGCAACATACAAAGTGTGGTAGATACGTCAGTTGGATATGAAGTCACCTTTTCTGAATGGACCAGGAAAGAGAGGTGTTTGTGTCAAGTAACCATCCGATTTTGAGATCAAGGGACAAGAAATGAAAGTGTACAAACTAATAAAGATAATATATGGATTGAAGATGACACCTAGAGCATGTAACAAAAAATAATAATAAATTTATGATAAAGCTAGAATTCAAAAAGTGAACATCAAAAAATGGAATGTATGCAAAAGATTCTAATATAAAATATCATGGTTACAAGAAAAGTACAAAAGAGTACTTATTCATGATTGAAGCAACTCCAACTTCATGGAGCTCAAAGAATTAATGGATAATGGCTATATAATCATGTGAGGTAGAGTATGTTGTTGCCTGCTATGCATCTTGTCAAATATTATGGGTTGAAATGATATTAGAAGAACTAAAATTCATTAAAATTGCAAAGATGAAGTTGTTGGTAGACAAAAATCAAAAAATCATAATATATATGGATAATCATCTGATGAGCCTGAGGAGAAGTAAACACATTGAAATAAAGTATTATTTCTTTAGAGATCAAATAAGCAAAGATAGATTAAAGATTGAATATTGCAAAACAACATTGTAACTCAGAGACATTTCAACCAAACCATTGAATATAACACGATTCAACGGTCTAAAGAAATTAATGGAAATGAGAAGATTATCCAACATGAATTTGGAGGAGTATTGTGTTGTAATTTAACTTTAATAGTTATAAGTTAGTTATAAGGCGGTTAGACGATTATAACTAACTTCCATGTGGTTACTAAACTTACTATTAGTTACACATGTGGTTACTACCAGATTAACATTTTATTACTATTAATTGCACAATTGATTACTATTAGTTGTGATTATTTCTAATGTATGTTTATAGTTAGTAGTATGATCAAGATGCAACACATATTTGTAATTTTGTAATTTTGAAAGGAATAAAATATATTTAATATCTTTATCATTAACATATATACAAAACAAAACCTAAAGGCTGTTGATAATCTATTCACACACAAGCAAAGTTTGTTACTGTGAAGGTACAAAGAAGTAAGTTACCTAAGTTACCCTATGCTTTTCATTTTGTTGTTAAGCTTTTAAATTTTGTCGTCTTTAACTTTTAGTTTAATTTAGAGAGGGAAATTCTTAAGTCAACTTCACCTCATCATTTGGTCTTGCCAACACCTCATTTCCCACTTTCTCTACTTTTTACTGTTGTTTGTTTTTCTCATCATTCTCTCTATATAATCACATTCCCTATCATACATTTCTTCATCACAATTATATTACTACTATATTCATACATTATGAAGGTTCATCACTTCACACGTGGATTCTGGGAACATGAACCTTCCCTCTCTCTTGGTTGCAAACGTTTACGTCCTCTTGCACCAAAGATTTCCGATAACACACCTTCTCTTTCCTTTGATCTCAAGAGTTTCATTAGACCACAAACTGAAACTGATAATCATAACAAGAAAGATCCTACTTCACCACAAAGCCAGGTTCATATATAATTCAACTCTTATTTTTCATGCACTATAACACCAACACTTCTGGCAAAAAAACATGTCTGTGTCGGATAGCGACACTTATTATTTTTTTCAAATTATTATCAGTATCGTCATGCCAGTAGTAACTCACGCGTGTGTGTTTGTTTTTGTATAGGTTGTTGAAACGCATGTTCCAGGAGGGACGAGGTGGAATCCAACGCAAGAACAAATAGGAATATTGGAGATGTTATACAGAGGTGGAATGAGAACACCAAATGCGCAACAAATAGAACAGATAACTGTTCAACTTAGCAAGTACGGTAAAATTGAAGGGAAAAATGTGTTCTATTGGTTCCAAAACCACAAAGCACGCGAGAGACAAAAGCAGAAACGTAACAGTCTTGGTCTTCCTCACAGTCCTCGTACTCCCACAACCACACTAGTGTCACCTACTTTTAGTACTATTTCAACTTTAGACACGCCTAAAAGGGTATGTTTATTCATGTGATTTGTCTCCTAACATAACATAGCCGTTTTCAAGAGCGTGTAAATTAGATTACTGTAAATTAGATTACTGTACAAAATTAAACTGTGACGATTAAAATGGTTTATTTTCTAAAAATTTAAGACGACTCTGGTCACTAGGCGACTAATGGCCAGAAATTTCTACAATGTCTTTGTTGTTTTCAACTGAACTGAATTATTAAAAGATATACTAAAATATAATCTTGGCAGGGCGAAGGAACGAAGAGAAATCAAGAAGATAGTCCATTGAAGAAGAGTAGGAGTTGGCCATTTGAGTACTTAGAAGAACAAAATTGGTCAACAATATGCAAAGAGGAACATAAAACTCTAGAGCTTTTTCCATTACACCCTGAAAGAAGATGAAGGAGTTTAATTAATCTATTTTTAGCTTTTTGTTTCTAAAATATGCTTTAAATTTGCTTTAGGAGTATAAATTTTCTTCTTTCATTTACATTGGGAAAGAAGAAAGACAAAGTTGTCTACTACTACTACTATAACTTTGTACTCTTCCATGTAGTAATGTTATGATTCCATGACTTTGGAGCCAAATTAACAAAATTGTTTTGTTCCTCTTTTTCCATTGTAGTAGGTGTGTGAGTTTGAAAAATATAAACACTTTAGGTTAAAAGGTGAAGCTATGCAAACACTGAAGTCCACGCACCTAGTTTTACTAATCTTATCTTAATTAATAATGAAGGGTTTATACATTCTCATAATTTGGATTAAATTTGAATAAAGCATGTAATTGTCCTCGATATAGCCGAAATCTTGGATAATAATCATGCTGGATACTCCACTCACACTATAGATCAGACTTTCATAAAGTAAGGCCAAATTGAGTTTCAAAAGAGTGCACGAGTTCCTTTGTTTTTTTTTTTTTAATCTTTGACATGCAAATTGTTTAGGCCTATATTTCATAGATTCGTTGTGGTTGTAGGACCAATGATTATCCCACCATGGGAATTGGGAGGGAAAGAAAGATCAAAATTTTACAAAATTCATAATTAAAGTATTTGTTGTCAAAATACACACTATTTATTGGAGGGATTTTTAAATAATAAATAATCTGCGTAGCAAGAAAAATAGTTTGAGATAAATTTATCGGAGAAATTTTTCACATTCTTTTTTAATTTATTTATCTATTTTTATCGTATAATAGGTGAAAAATATATAGAAAATAAGGGTTTGAATTGTGTTTGATTAAAAAAAATATTGGATATTCTTGACCATATAATATATGATAGCAGAAAGTAAAAAAAATAGATATAGAAAATCATGCATAATGTCCTATCTATTTCTATCGTGTCATGTGAAATTTTACATATGCTCTTTGATTTCTGAGATATATTTTTGAGCGCACTTAAAGTTCAATAAATGTTAAAATGTTTTGGAGATATATCTTCAGAATATTTTAGAATATAAGTCGCGTCAGACTCTTCTCTTTCTTATTTTTCACTTTTCTTCAATACACTCAAACTCAACTCGTCTCCTTCTCAATACACCTCAACTTCACCAAATCAATTTTTATCAAACAAGGTTCAAAGGAAATCAAAGAACATCAAGTATCATTTATAACATCATTCAACATCATAAAAACCATAAATTTCAAGTAAGTTTTTTGAGTTTTCGGTAAATATTCGAGTTTTAGTGTAAGTGTGTAGAAATCAATTATTAGGGTTAGAAATGTGTAGAAATCACATGTAACATAGTTTAGACTTAGTGTATGAGTTGTTTGTTGGCTCAAAATGGAGATCATATCATGTTTTTTCAACTTGCAAGAGGTACATTTCACCATTGTCGCCGCCTTTGAGTTATAGAACATTTCGGAGATACATCTCCGAAATAGTTTAATGTTGCATATACTTTGAGAATTTTCAGAGGTGCATCTCCGAAACCCTTCAAAGTTAATAGTTTTATGGTGTTTCCAGAGATGCATCTCTGGAATTGTTCAACGTTATTGTTTTATGGTGTTTCCGGATATGCATCTCCGGAATTTCTTATAGTCTATTTTTTAATAAATTTTCTTGTTTGTGTGCACTAATGATATGTCTTACTTTATCTTACATGCATAATGACTGACAAAGTTGACAGATTGAGACATTGCAGGGTTCCCAGCAAGCATCCATTCGGCGGGAGCCAACAGGTTCTGGAGACAGCAGATACCTTTGGTCAGACAGAAGCGTCGACTTCTAGGGCACCGTCTACTTTTGGGGATTGTGTTTCACCTCAGGCCACTCCATCTTCTTCTTCTTCCCATAAAAGACATGATTCACCATCTGACATTTCACTTCCCCCATCCTCCCGCAAACATCAGGGTTCGCGAGTGTCACCTCCTACGGATCCAATGCCACCTCCCGCTGATGATCCTACTGATCTAGTGCCACCTCCGGAGGGTAAGGCTGTTGCGGATGTCGAGCCAGAGGGTTTTGGAGGAGATCTGTATGATCTGTCCTTACTTTTTCTGTATCCAGACCATACTGCCATACATATCTGGGACACAGAGGTATAAATAGTTGGATTTTATTTATTTTTTTACGTTAATTTTAATTGCTGACATTGATTATTTCTAGCAAATTTCAGGAGCGTCATCTCCAGAAGTTTCTTAACCATGGGAGGAAGATTATTGTATTGCCTCAACAGGAGGACGATTGGTTTCAGTCGGTTTTATTATTATCTGGCCTGAAGGACCTATGCATGACCGGGCACAAACGCATTCGTGGAAAGATGGCATTCTAAGACCTCTTCGTTTCATCTCCCGCATTGTGAGATGTCTATCACACTCGACGATATCTCATGTTTGTTATTTTTTCCGATCAGGGAGAGATTCCTCGATCATGGAAGGATGACCAAAAACGAGGCAATCGAGATGATGGTAAAGCATTTGAGGTTGATCCAGGGAAGGCGGTTGAGGAGGTGAATATGACCAGGAGTGCTCATTCTAGATTTGATTTCTTGAAGAAGATATATGATGATGAGAACCGTGTTGCACATGAGGCTCATGGTGATGATGAGCAGGTGGCGGTACACAGGGCTCGTGCTTTGAGGGCATATTTTCTTTTTTTGGTTGGCACTTGTATTTTTGTGGACACGAGTGCCCACTCCTACGGAAAATCCATTTAACAATAATTAGGAAAGATATATAATTACGCGGGTCCAATCTTTGTTATGTAGAGTATTGTTGTATATATGATACTTACAATCACGACCCAGTAACAGTTGTAATAAATTGGAAAACACGTGCCCTATCACAACGGATTTTCCAAAAGACCGTGTGATAAAAATATTTTTTTTTGGTCAGCGCGCGAGATATGGTAACTGTTATGATATATAACCATTGTTAAATTTTCTGCAAAAATAACAATGTTATCCTGCTTTTATAATTAATCTCATTTTTCAACCTATATTATTGTTCACCATATCACAGCAGAAAATACAACTCACATTTGTGATAACGTTATCATAATAATATTAATTTATCATATTCATAATATCACATAATTGTATCATATTCAATACATTATAACATCATCACATGAATCCAAGGTAACCAATACATCAACCATTACACCATCAGTCAACATACAAATCTAATCAATTATAACCTATTTCGTCATTGTTGTTACAACAAATGCAATGAACACTAAAAATAAAAAAAATTAGGTAATCTTCATCTGTTTCTTCAGGATCTTCACCTTCAACTTCAATCCGTCCTCCTTGGCTTTGTAGGTGTTAACCATCTCCTTCTCCTCATCCAAGTTCTTTGCTAGTGAAGAAATTATTTGTTTTGCTCTAGGATCCTTCTCCTCATCCAACCAAGCAAAGTGAGAGCATTTTTTGTATCCTTGAATCTTATACATCCCACAACCATAGAAACGGAGGTCTGGGTTCGAATCGATCCATGTCGTCATCAACGGAGCATCGAGACTACACTTGCATACATACCTTGAATGACTTGGGGACCTGCTTCCATGGCTACAATCAGACTGCTGAGACATTTTAATAGAAGGATTTGATGAAAACTTGAAGAAACTGGGTGAGAAGAAGACGATCAGTGACTGGGAGAAAAAGAATACAAAAAACAATTCAAAAGGATCAAGAACGCAAGATATAATAAACAAAAACAACAACACTAATGTTTTAAGATACACCTTTATTTAAATTAATCGTGGATGTCGAACAAACCATGAAGTTCATCTAGTTTATGAAGTTATGAAGAAGAAATATAAGGTGAATAAATTTTACACAATAGCTTCACACTTCTTGTATTTCTCTTCATAGCTACACAAATCATATGTATCATAGCCAAAGTATGCGCTTTGTTAAGGTGGTGAAGACGAATCTGAAAAAAAAATATAACATTCACCAAATGAAAAAATAAGAACCCATTTTTAACAGAAAGATAAACGAAATTGAAGCATAAGTTTAATGAACGAACCTCAAGTTTGCGATTGATGAAGACGTATCTGAAGGTTGAAGTATGTTTAAAAGGTGACATGGATGTTAGGGTTATGTTATGAGAGAGAAGAGTGAAATATGTTAGGGTTTTCTTTTGAGAGAAATGGTTGTTATGTACTGAACGATAGATACTTTCGCTTATATACTAAAAAATATCACTTTTAATCACAGTTAGAAAGATAAAATGTTATGTAATTTTCAAATTTTACAACGGTTGTACTGTAAAACCGTGGTTAAATAACTTTTAAATTTTACAACAATTGGTTTACTTCACCGTTGTAAAATCATTTACAATTTATTTTTTAACTAATAGACTTAAGTGCCACACGTTTAATGTACTACAAAAAATGGGAAAAAATATAGTTGCTAGGAATCGAAGCTTGTTACACATCATTTATTACTACGGTGTTTTAAGAAAACTGTCATTAAATTATTGTTTATAAATCCAGCTACTCATTGGGCGCGAAAATTTTAACCTATTACAACGGTGTATATGAATCTGTTGTAAACCTGACGTTATTGTTTGCGTGTTTTATAGTAGTGCCCACTTATACTAATGTTGCATATCTCTGGTACTTCTTTTATCTACAGTGAATCCATGAGTACAACTGGGGGGCGGCTTGTCTGGCCTATCTTTATTCGAAGTTGAGAGATGGATATCGATGGAAGACGAAGCAGGTCACAGGAAGCGTGACACTACTAGTGGTAATAATTCTTGATCCTTAAATGTTTTTTTTATCATTTTCATTTCATTTTTGTGAAACCATTACCGATAATTCTTGATCCTTGAATGTTTTTTATAATTTGAGGCTTGGATCCTCAGGTACTTCTCACGTATTGCTGGTTGGGTGAGTGTGAATGAGTACATTGAGGATACGTTGCGTGCCTGTGCTTTTATCCCACTCAAA